CATTGGATGTGACACAAAAGATTCTAACAGCTCTTTAGCTGATCAACTGTAGCAATACATATTTTTAACAATTTCTGAATTTTGAGTTTTAACTTCAGTAAACCATTATGGTCTATTTAACAAATGCAATTGGATCACGTTGTTCTGTGAAATGGAGCTGTGACATTGTTGACTTGTTGATGCAAGTAACAACTGTGGTGTTGCATCTACACATTGGTCAGTTCCTGAAATGTTAATAAATTCTCAATCTGGCAGATATTTCTAAATATCCTTATTGGAGGGTCAACAGGGTTTTGTTTTGATTCCTCCCCCTCTTTAAACAGACACAATAAAATGCCTGTGATGTTTCCAAATCTCAGTACAAGCAAAATATGATCATGGGTGTATTTTGATCATTTTTATAAAAGTCTCATTGTTTTAAAGAAAGGAATTGTTCATTTTCAACTCCGAATAAAAGCTGCTTATGCATATAACATAAGAAAAAAACTATCCTATCTTTCTATATCTCCCTTTCTCTGTATGTGTGTGTGTGTGTGTGTGTGTGTAATAGTCATACACATAGACACACACACATACACATGTACATATATTACACAGGAAAACATGACATTCAGAAAAATAAAATGAATCGCGCCAGAAAGTTCTCACATTTTCCTGGCATCTGTGGAGTGGTGCCATATGAGAACCATATGACTGCTGGCAGATTGGCATGTCAGTTCAAGCATGTACAACTTGACCTTGCTCTCTGTTTGTCAATTTATAAAAGGAACATTGATAAAATTTTATCTGCAGGCTTTAAGCATGAGGACTAATTTATCCCTTTTCCAGTTTTTATTCTGTCCTTCATAGAAGCTAGAACCTCGATTTCAGAAGTATAGAACCAATCGCTATGACAACGACTGAAAACAACAATATAAAATACCTCTAGATAGTGAATATGTATTTTCTACAACAAGCTTAATTTAGGAGTTTGATTAGAAATATCTTCAGACTGAAATTCACTGCTTAATGAAACGAAAACATTTAGGATGAGAAGAATGCAATAAAATAATGTAAAATATTATAAACAATGGAAACTTTCATTTTTTCATTATTCATCTTTTTGTAATCATTGTCATAACTGATCAGAGCTATTTTCAGTCATTTTCATAATTGGTTTGGATTTTTTTTTAGTTCGGATTTTTTTTGTTCTTTTTTTCTTATTTATCATTGCTTGTTTAGAGACCTCCTTGAGTCTTCTGCTGTTCATGCTGCTGTTGATGCTTTCTAGAAAAACTATGGGGATTTTTGGGATTACCTTAATCCTTCAAGACAATAAAACAAAAGATATATATTTTGTAGGAAATTGGGAAGGTTTATGAATTTGTTTACTGCTTTTAGTGGCAAATTTGACTACTCCTTTACTGCTTGTAAACTGAAATTTCCATCCAACTGGTAATTACGTTTTCATCCTTCTTCATTTTTCAGTCTATGAAAGTTCAAAGCAACTGAGGTTCAAAACATATCCCTCTTTTACAGTCAATTTTAAAAGTATATAAATGTAGCTCACAGCTCTTTCTCTGTTCCCTGCTTGGTGTAATTTACTTTCTCTAACCAAAGAGCTTTCAATGAAATGTCTCCCAGAACACTCAATCATGAGACAAAATGCAGCCATCCTATCTTTTCTTCCTAGAATGGCAGAAGAAGCCATGAGAAGATCATATCATATGGACTCCTAATCATCCACATTCTATGAAATGTAGCAGAAGCCCCATTATACAGACTGTTCATGCAGGCCTTCAGTTACAACCATCAAATAGAATTCATTTGATGATTTGTCATTTTTTAGAAAAATATCTATCATCTCTTTACAGAATTGTATGAGGACGAACAAATTTATTATCATTTAACATGAGCCATATCGACGTAATGGTTAGAATGCAGTATTGCAGGCTAATTCAGCCCACAACCAGCAGTTTGATCTTGATGGGCTCAAGGTTAACTTACTTTCCATCCTTCTGAAATCAGTAAAATGAGGATCCAGATTGATGGGGACAATATGCTGACATTGTAAACTACCCAGAGAGTGCTGCAAAGCACTGTGGAGCAATATATAAGTCTAAGTACTATTGCTATAGCTATTTGATGACTCACAACTGCACATTTCAGCTGACTACATTGAAAAACATGCTCAGAGTTAGTGTTGTGAAGTAATTAGAAGGCAGATGGGGAATCTGTGGCCAGTAAAAACTCTCCATTTGGCCCAGGGGATCTCTGTATGTGGACATTTAGCTCTCTCTGATTTACTAATGTACTACCTTAATTGTGCTGTCTCCAACCTGGTAAAGAAACAACCTTCTTTAAAAACATCAATTGCTGCTTAACAAAACTTAAGGTCTACTTGTTCCCATCTGACATTAATTTTTTAATATCTCTTGGCTAGGGAGAGAATTAATTTCCCAACTGAATGGTCTCCCTATGACTGGCGCGGGAATCGGTATATATGTGCATCCATGAAAGTGACAATGTCTATATCAGATGAACAAAGAAATAAACAGATGTTTGAATATGTCTGAATGTGTTTCTAACCCTCTTGAAAATGAAATGCCTATGTAAAGCACTAAGCTGCTATTAGTAGAAATTTCAGTGCTAAGCCATCATCATTTTATGTTACACCTGCTGATCATAAACTCATTCTCTGAGTTGGATGTTCCAGGGGTGTGGGGGGGAAAGTACCATGTATTAACTAGAGGGAGGTGCTAACACATAGGGGAAGTAGTAAATCAGAATGGCAGAAATCCAGAGACATTTTTAGGGGAAAAGGGAGGAATTAATCATGTTTTGTGATATTGACTGAAGAAAAGGAAAGACTAGAAAATGAAAGAGAAATGATGAAATAGAGTTTTCCAGAAATGAGATTGGCATGCCTGGATGGAATCGTGATGTTGCAAATCCCACTTAAAAGAATATAATTTGCTGTTTGCTAGTTTCTATGAAAAACTACTAATTTAAAATTAAATATTTGGTTGGGAGCAAAGAATCTTTATACCTTAATGACTTCATCTATGTTTTGGTCTACAGCAAAGAAACAAACGAGACAGCGATAGCAGAGGGAATAATTAATCCATATTGGCTTAGATCCTCTAAGAACAGAGTACTTTTTATTACTTGTTTGTTTTAGCAAATGAAAATTGGAAAGGAACCTTAAATCGTCCATGGCAACTTGAGGCAGCTTATACAATGTAAAACCATATTTAAAACAAAAAATAAAAATAAAAAACAATAAAAACTAACAAAAAGAATCAAATTAATTAGTAAAGTACAATAGAACAAAATTTGGGAAAAAAAACAACAACAACTCCCACTCCCTGCCCCAACAACAGCAGATCACACTAGCTATTTGATGAGCTCCATCCCTCTCTGGGTTCCCCAGGCCCTCTGGCAAAACCAGGTCTTCAGTGCCTTTTGGAAGAGTTCTAGAGTGGGGGCCATTCTAATCTCTGGGGGAATGATGTTCCAGAGAGAGGGAGTCACCACAGAGAAGACCCTTCTTCTGGGTCCCACCAGGTGTATCTCTCTCAGGGGTAGGACCTGCAACATTCCCTGCCTCCTCGGTCTAATGGGTCGGGTAGATGTGCCTGGCAAGAGATGTTTCCTCAGATAACCCGGACCCAAAAGGGCTTTAAAGGTGACAACAGCACATTGAATTGCAAACTGGGAGCAAATCGGCAAGCAATGCAACTCCTGCAGGAGAGATGACACATGTGCACACGGGGTCTGCACAAAACCATGCGGGCCACTGCATTTTGCACCAACTGGAGCTTCCAGATGCTCTTCAAGGGCAGCCCCATGTACAGCATGTTGCAATAATCAAGACAGGAAGTGACCAGGGCATGAGTAACTGTGAGTAGAGACCGCTGATCCAGGAAAGGGCGTAACCGGTACACAACCCACAGTTGTGCAAAGGTCATCCTGGCCATGATTGCCACCTGATCTTCGAACAGGAGTCATGAGTACAGGAAAAACCCCTAGATTACACACAGGGTCTGTTTGGGTAGTGCCACTCCATCCAAGACGAAAGGTGGTAATTCTCCCTGAGCCAACTAACCCCAAACCCAGAGCCACTCAGTCTTGCAAGGATTTAGTTTCAATCTGTTGCTCCCCATCCAGCCCCTAACAGCCTCCAGGCACTGAGAGAGGGAGGATACAGCAACACTTAACTCACCACAGGCCAAGACATACAGCTGAGCATCATCAGCATATTGGTGATACCTCAGTCCATGGTGACGGATGATCTCACCCAGTGGCTTCATATAAATGTTGAACAGGAGTGGAGAGAGTACTGGGCCCTGCAGAACCCCATAAAGCAGTGGGCGAGGGTTAGATCTCTCCCCTCCTATCAACACTGACTGAGAGTGGCCACAGAGGAAGGAAGTGAACCAAGACAGCACAAGGCTTCCCACTCCCATCCCCCAAAGCTGCCCCAGGAGAATCCCATAGTCAATGGTATCAAAAGCCGCTGAAAGGTCAAGTAGAGCAAGGATGAATGCACTAGCCCCATCCCGCTCCCACCAGAGATCATGTAAAAGTGGAACCAATGCTGTTTCTGTCCAAAATCTAGGTCTGAATCCTGACTGGTAGGGGTCGAGATAATCCATTTCATCCAAAAACCTCTGGAGCTGCTGCACAATCAATAACCTTCTCAACAACCTTCCCCCAAAAGGGAAGATTGGGGACAGGTCAGAAATTATTCAACCGGGTGGAGTCCAGCAATGGTTTCTTAAGAAGTGGGTGGACCACAGCCTCCTTAAAGTGCTGGAACACTGCCTCCTCCTGTAGAGAAGCATTAATCATTGCCAGAGTTCACCCTCCTGTCACCTCCTGGAAGATTTCACAAGCCAGGAGGGACATGGGTCTAAAATACAGGTGCTTGCGCGCATACTCCCTAGGATTCTGTCCACTTCCTCAGAAGCAACAGGGTCAAACCATTCTCAGATAACAGGGCAAGAACCTGCCTCAGGAGCTTCCACCAGATCAGCAACCACGCCGGCATCTAACTGGGAACAAAGTCGAGCAATTTTGTCTTCCACAAAATCCACAAATTCCTCAGCACGCCCCTTCAGGTGGACCTCAATCTTTTCCTTCCCTAGGAGGAGACGGCTCACCTTAAAGAGGATCGCTGGGCGAGTGTCTGCAGACACAATTAGTGTGGGGAAGTATTTACACTTCGCCTTACAAATAGCCACAAGGTAGGCCTTAGTAGCAGCTATTACCCATGTTCAATCGAGTTTATGCAAACATTTCTTTCTAAGGAGCCCTTGAAAAAAGACAGAGGCTGAATTATTATCATACACCATGTTTTCGGGTGATTGTGAATTGTAAATTGAAACATAAACTGCAATTCTATGCATGCTTATCTGATAGAAGTTGAATTCAGCAGGGTTTATTTCCCAATAAACATGCATAGAACTAGCATGTTTATAACTTATTATACAGTCCTCATTTCCTTTCCCTGAAAATAATGTGCATCAAATTCAATAGGACCTAATTCTACATGAACAAGACTGTATTATAAGAATTTGTCTGGATTATTGGGTTCAATAATAGACCTTAGCTGAATGGTTGATGTTTTAAAATGATTGGCTAGGTATTTGTTCAGTTCTATAAAAATCAAAGGAAGCTGGAGATAGAGTTTAACTGATATTCCAAAGAAGACTTGAAAAAAGTCATTCAAATGACAAAGAAACCATATTGCAGCATGTAGATCAATTGAAAAGAGAACAGATTTCCATCTTGAAATGAAATATGGGCCGGGGGGACACCCCTCTTTCCCCAAACACACTATGACAGATTACAAGGTTTGCAGCTGGAGTTAATCCAGATTTCTGTTTAATTAAATAGTAGCAATCATTCTGCCATATTATATCAGAATTGCACAAAGGTGAGATGAAGGTGATAGGCAACATATGTGTGTGCACCTCCTTATTTTCATTGGAAAATATGAACATTTAGCTTTAAAATAGAAAGACCGTACATACCATGTTTATATCCAGCTCGCTACATCCTGCATGTTTTGGACAGCAGCAGGACTTTCTCAATGTACAAATATATTTGATGTAATCCTTATTTAAAAGAGCTGTTCCTGTTTCCATGAAGGCATATTGGATTGCCAACAAACAAACAAACAAAAAACATGAAGGGAATAGCAACCAAAAATAGGGCACTTATAAAAGTTACAGTATATAAAAATATATACAAGTTAAAGTGCTAATTTATACGAATACATATTTAGAAATTCATATAATCTCTTAAATAGAGGTACAATATATCTATCCATCATGGAGAAACTGACCTATGACTGTTAGTGCTATATCATGAAACTAAATAATATTGATGAATTAATCTTTTCTTTTTCTACTGTTCTTATTTTTGGATATGAAACTCTTCATATCCAAATTCTAGCAGGACTACCAGATTCTGTAACAGCTTTGTTCCCTATGTCATCCATCTATAAACTCAAAAGATTCATTTTTCTCACCATGTACATGTATACATCCAAACTAAACTGTTGTTTCTCCATGTCATATAATATATGTGAATATTTATTTATTTATGTATATTTATGTAGTGTGTATTCAAGGTGGAGACCCCTTGAGAGCTGTATGCAATGAAATTACATTTTAATGTATGCCAATTAGTGTACATCCAAAGTGACAATAAAGCTATTCCAAGTCTAAGTCTAAGGTCAAATAAAGGTCTATTCTCTATAAAGTCAATCAGGATCTTACTGAATTGTGTAGTGTGTATTTTTAGTTAAGTAAAGTTTGTGCAGAATTCCATAATTATATTCCAGAATGTAATGGAGCAAAACCATTTTCTTGTTTAATATTAAGAGAATAAAGGTCTTAGATTACAGTGGCACTGAAAAGAGACTAAGTGCCCAGTAGAGAACTTGTTTTTATTCTTCCAAAATACTTAAACATTTGTATTTGCTCATTACTCAGAGCACACATTTTCATGTTTAGATGCTTTACATGTTTCCTTGTATCAATTTATCATTCTTAAGGCTTATATCAGTATTTCTCAGCCTCAGCCCCTCTAAGATGGGTGGGCCTCCACAGAATTTCCCACTGGCTGTCATGATAAACATTTTTATGAGAATTTCAGTGCAGCCAAAACAGATTTGTTTTGTCCAGTTTCTCCACTTTCTGCTGCAACAGCCTAAAAATTACCAAAAGCAAAAGTGGTCCCATTTTAATGAGATTTTTAAATGACTGATTGATTTTTAATTCTTACTATGAAGTAAAAAGCCAGCAACCCTAGGGTATAGTAGGTAGCCCACTATTTATTTCTGATCGTGTCATTTATCTGTCTTTAAATGACTTTTAAACATATTCTACATGAAGTTGAATGAAATTTTTTTTTTAAACCTATCCTGCCTGTCTTTAAAATTACAGCTCTTTTAACATCAAATAATTCATTAGTCACTCCTTCCTGCTATTTGGTACTTGTGTGTGTAAACAACATACCTTTCAAAAGGCTATCAGAGGTCATCCAACAAGCTAAGAATTGAGGACTTAAATAACATGTCTTCACAAGATTCTACTGGGCACTTTGTCATTTTAATAACACTTTCATTCCAGAAACTTTCAGTAGCTAGAGTCATAATGCTTAATTGCTCTCATTTATCTCTCTAATAAATGATGTCATTGACTTACTATGGTTGTAAAGAGACAATTGGCAAGCCAATATGTAAATCTGCTACATTTAACCATGGAAACCATAGTGAATGCAGAGCCCTATGCAAAAGAGCAAGTGTCTTTAAATAGGAGCAAAGCTGTTTTCGACTAAATCATCCAAGTTTGTATATTTAAAAAATCCATGCACTTCACACATTGTCCAAGTATCTGTTATGAAAAGAACAGAGCAAAGTAGGTGCAGTCATATGGATGACTTTTTGAGAGGGGAAGTGTTATGTTGGGAAGGGGTGGTGGTGTGTTTGGTGGAATATGGTGCACATTTCAATAGACAACTATTTTTCAAAGATTAGCTCTGCAAATTAGATCAGTTCAAAATTCAAGCCCCTTTTCTATTTTATGTCATAAAACTGAATCCCAGACTAATGATTAGGTAGAAAAGAGTTCCTAGCATGACTCTCTTTCTCTGGTAAACTGCCCAGTATTGGTGGAGCTCCCATGATAATTTGTAGACTCCCAGATTTCTCTTATTTATTTCTGATAAATTGTGGTTTGGTTAGTGAATACTCAATTTAACTGAATGAAGAAAAGAAAAAGGCTGTATTAGGAGCAGAAGGGCATGTGTTGTTTAAAGCATTGTTTGCAGGTAGAAAGATAGTTAAAAAAGGAACTTAGGGCAGTATATCAGCAGTAGGCCATTGGCTTTTTTATATTATAATTTTATATAGCTTTATTACCATATATAGAATAGAAATAGAATAGAAATACAATAGAATAGAATAAACAGAGTTGGAAGAGACCTTAGAGCGGGGGTAGGATTCTACCAGTCCACACCTATTTGCTAGAACCGATTGTTAACATTCTAAGCAGTTCGGAGAGCCTGTTGTTAAAAGAAATGACTGGCCTAATCCTGTAAGGAAGGCAGGAAGGAAACATTCTGGTGTTGCTTACAGAAACTGCCTCTCCGTTAACCCTTTTTACATTCTTGGCAGGACTAGACTTCCTATCTCAGGAACTTCTCTGGAGTTTGTTTCCCCTCCTTTGCTGGTACTTTGCTTGTGTGGAGTGACCATTCAAAGTTACAATGGCACTGAAAAAAGTGATTTATGACCATTTTCCCACTTACGAGTCATGAGAGGCCAGGCGAGGAGATGCGTGCCTCGATGTGAGTGATATTGAGTTGGCCACACCCAGCCAATAACATGACCACCAAGCCATGTCCACCCAGTCACATGACCACCAAGCCACGCCCACAACCTAAGCCATGACCACAGAACCGGTTGTTAAAAATTTGAATCTCACCCCTGCCTTAGAGGTCTTCTAGTCTAGGGGTGTCAAACTCATCGCCCATGGCCCAGATGCATCATGTGCTGACCATGCCCACCCCTGATATAGCAAAGGGGGAAAAGTTACTATATGTCACATGATGACAGCATAACATTGCGAATTTGACACCCTTGTTCTAGTCTAACACCCTGCTCAGGCAGGAAACCCTATATACCATTTCAGACAAATGGTTGTCCAATCTCTTCTTGAAAAATTCCAATATTGGAGCACCCACAATTTCTGGAGGCAAATTGTTCCTGATCAATTTTCTAGCTGTCAGGAAATGTCTCCTTAGTTCTAGGTTGCTTCTCTCCTTGATTAGTTTCTATCCATTGCTTCTTGTCCTGCCCTCAAGTGCTTTGGAGAGTAGCTTGACTCCCTCTTCTTTGTGGCGGTCCCTGAAATATTGGAACACTGCTATCATGTCACAACTAGTCCTTCTTTTCATTGAAATAGACATATCCAATTGCAGCAACCTTTATCTGCCAAATGCCCTGGAATAGCATCTTTGAGCAAACAGTACTTCAAAGCAAATGTTTGCCCTAGCTAATCGTTCGTTAATCCAACACATCTCAGAGAGGGAAGGGCACAAGGGGAAAAAAGAAAGAAGAAATGCATGAAATGTAATTGACTGAATGTAACATCGTCCCTGCAAATATTGCAAGTATGGATATTATGTAAGGAACTCTCTTGTCACATGACTTGAGGCTGTAAAGGTGAGGGGAGGCAGGACTGCCAAGATAATCCATTAGCTCTTAAACTAATACTTTGTTGGAACACGTTTTGATTTTATAACAGAATTCAGTCTTTTGGAGTAGGAGCCTATCAGCATGACACGTCTTGGGAAGTTTGCCCACTCCAAATCTGTCAGATTGTAAGAACATCTTCTACACACAGCCCTCTTCAAGTTATCCCACAGATTTTCACTTGATTCAGGTCTGGGGTCTGGCTGGGCTATTCCAAAACTTTGATCTATTTCTGGTGAAGTCATTCTTTTGTTGATTTAGAGATATACTTTGAGTTGTTGTTGTATTGAAAGATGAAAGTCTTCTTCTTCAGCTCCAGCATTTTAGCAGAGGCCTGAAGGTTTTGTTTCAAAATTGACTGATATATGCAACTATTCATAATTTCCTCCACTTTGACTAAAACTTTCCTTCAAGCTGAAGAAAAGCACCCTCAAAGCATAATGTTGCCATTATCATTTACTGTGAGTATGGTGTACCTTTATGAGTGTTGTTTTTGTGCCAAACATACTTTTTTGGAATTATGGGCAAAAAAAAATTTTATGGTCATCAGACCATAGCACTTTTCCCCACATGCTTTTGTCAGACTTGATGTAGGTTTTTGCAAAGTGTAGCTGGGATTGGATGTTTTTCTGTGTAAGAAAAAGCTTTATTTTCCACCCTACCCTCAGAGTCCAAACATATGAAAAATACAGGAGATTGTTGTTACATATAGTGCACAATAAGTTCCTGTAGCGGCTTAAATGTTGCTGTAGCCTCTTGGCAGCCTCTCATTATTTCATCAATTTTGGAGGGACAATTGGTATTTTGTAATGTCATTGGTGTGCCATATTTTCTCCATTTGTTGATTACTGTCTTCCATGGTATATCTAAAGCCTTGGAAAAAATTTTATATACTTCTTCAGACTGACACCTTCCAATAATGAGATTCCTTTGATACTTTGTAAGCTCTTTGCAGACCATGGCGTTTGCTGTAGAAGGCAACTGAGTAGATGTCAGAAAAACCTTACTAGAACAGCTGAATTTTATATAGACTTGATCAGAATCACTTGAATTGATGGCAGGTGTGTACTAACATCAGTTGGAATGTGATTGGTTAATTCTGAACACTGCCACATCCCTACATATAACAAGGTATGCACACTTATGCAATCATATTATTAGTTTTTTATTGTTCTTTTCTCCCCTAAAAGATTTCAGTTTATTTTTCAATTAAATTATGCAGCTTATATGTTATATTAAAGGTGAACAATATTCTGAAGTTATTTATCTTATCTTTTTTTACATCTCAAACAAACTAGCATTTTAAGTGGGGTGTGTAGACTTTACAAGACTGCTTGGAGATTGAATTGAATTGCTATCCATCACATTGTTTTACTTTTCAGAAACATCCTTTCATTATTCTAAAGTGGAAATTCAAGAAAAAAAACTTGGAAATTGCATTTAATTTTTCTCAATTTTCTCAATAGTGAAATTAGTGATTTAGTATGACAGTGCCAATGAATTGGGAGGCAGAGTATTTCCAGAAACTGACGTAACAAATGAATAAGTTTGGAAATACCAAGTCAGACAATTTATTCACTGTGTGGAAAAAAAGAGCATAGGTGCTATTCTAAACAGGGAACATAAAGTAGTGGTGGTTTTTCACTAAGTACAGATGGCAGTTCTGACAAGGAGGATAAGTTATTCCTGGTAACTTGTCAACTTTGAAGATTTTTAGTTCAAACATGTGTTCTAGATATGCTAACAGTAAAGTACAGATTCTGAGAAATTGCAAGGCCTTTGAAAAAATGTCTCTTGTAACTCAGTGCAGGAAACTGCTTGGCTTTTGCCTCAAATGCTGTTATGTTTGCTAAGTACAATGAACTGAGTGTTGAACCTTCTACAGAAGAAAGGAAGTGGTACTGACTTTATGTCCTATTTAGCACATGCAACAGTTAAAAATGTGGCAAAGTCTTTTTTTTTATTATTTCTAGTGAGGTTTTTTTTACTGTAATCATTTTGAAACAAGTGCCAAAGAAAAAGAACTCGAAAGTTCTCACTCTACAGCTTGATAGTTAACTATGTCTCACACATTGGAATAGGATCTAAATGTCTGAGATGGGTTTAAATGACTTTTAAGTTTAAATGCTATTTTATATTTTGTTAGGATATAAAATAGACTCAGATACCTTTCACTCATTTCTTGGTTTGGGCTTTGACATTAAGCTATTGATACTGATTATATCTTAAAAGTAGAGAAATGGAATAAGTGCTTTTGGGTAGGAAAGCAATTTTTTTGAAGGGGGGGGGCGTGTTATACAATATATGGTAGTTGAAATGGTAAGTTTCATTTTTTATTCTGATAGATTGCATGGTATGTTACCATTTGCTCCAAATGAAAACTGCTAAGATTCTAAAGCTTGGTATGCAAACTCTGCACTTACAGTATGTCTCCATTAACTCTGTCCAAGATCAGTTGAAATGGACACATACAAAGTTTATGTAGCTTTATTAATGTAAAATTATGCTAATACAAGCCTACAGGTTACTGTAATAGAAATTTTCGGCTATATAAAGCAATACATGGTGATGTTTTTTTCTGTACAAGTTTTACACACATTTTATCCATCATTTTATCAGGTGTGATTTAGAGGCAATGAATCCATAAAAAAAGATAACGGAGTCCCTGTGGACTCTAGTTGTTGCCAACTGTAGGGGGCAGTGCTCATCTCCGTTTCAAGGCCATTGAGCCAGCGCTCACTGAAGAGATTTCTGCAGTCATGTGGCCAGCATGATGTCACAGAGCTCTGTTACCTTCCCACCAATCTGGTACCTATTTATCTACTCACATTTGCATGCTTTCAAATTGCTTGGCTGGCAGAAGCTGGGGCGACAACAGGAGCTCACCCCATAATGTGGTGCTTGGGTCTTAAACCTGGGCTACTGGCATTTCCAGATGACAAGCCCAGTATCTTAGCCACTGAGCCTCTGCACCACCCATCATTGAATCCATAAGGATTTGCATAGGTTTCCTAGTTATTTTCAACTTCTAGAATCATCCATTTACTTGACTCTTGTTTGAATAACAAGCTAGGATTTTCAAACTTTCTCATTTGGATTCTTATGGATCAGCTATATTGGTGATGAGTAGACTACTAAGGCAGTCAAGATGTTTTCTTTTTGGGGTGGGCTGCTTTGTTATTTTGTTTTTGCATTCTGGAACAGGAAATGAAGCATAATGACTTTTTAACAATTACCCTATATGCTAATATTGGGCTCCTATGGCTAAATAAAGCCAATTAATGTGAAGTGCAGGATGTTCCTTTCTCCTGAGCCCCAAATTCCACCATTAAAAAGTTCCCCTTGCAGGTTCAAAGAAGGCAGAGTGTCTTCTTCACTCATCACTTGGCATCACAGCTTGGCATCTCATTCATGTTCCCAGATGTTACATATGCCATAACCTTGATTCCTAAGGTGTGATTTAAATTCCCTCCATAATTAGCAGCATACCATTTCACATAATCTTCTTATCAGATATCATGGTTTCAGGACTGGCTTTTGTGTTGAATAAATAGAGGAAGTCCTCTTGCTGCTCTGAAAACCAATATGGGTAGTCCTCATCTTATGACTATAACAGAGCCCAAAATTTATGTTGCCAAGTGAGACAGTCATTAAGTGAAATTTGCCCCATTTTACAACTATTCTTGCCACAGTTGTTAAGTGAATCACTGCATCTGTTAAGTTAGCAACACAGTCTTCCCCATTGACTTTGCTTGTCAGAAGGTTGCAAAAAGTGATCACATGACCACAGAACACTGAAAACTTTATAAATATGAATCAGTTGCCAAGCATTTGAATGTTGATCATGTGATTATGGGGATGCTGCAACAGTTGTAAGTATGAAAAACAGTCAAAAATCTTTTTTTTCCAATCTGTTGTAACCTTGAATGGTCACTAAATAAATTGTTGTAAGTTGAAGGCTACCTGTGGTCTTAATTTATTTAATTTAAGGGGCAAAAAAAGCAGAAACTGACAATAAGCTAAATCTTTAAGTGTGATAGTATACTACAGGGGTATCAAACTTGCGGCCCACAGGCTGGATGAGTCACATGCTGGCCTTGCCCATATCCAGTTTAACGAAGGGGGAAAAAGGTATGATACGTTATGTGACACTACCGTGACGCCACGAGTTTGACACCCTGGTATAATACATAGTACTTTACCATCCCAACTTAGAAGTTAAACTTGGAGCAACTATATCAGAACTAATTATCTAGCATATCCCCTTGTTGTGAGCAATACAAATATAACCTATCTGTGGTTTCTTCCGCAAACCCCAAAAACTTTAACTTTAGACTGTCTACTATTGACCTCACCCCTTTCCTAAGAGTCTGTAGGGGGCGTGCATAAGAGCACCAACGTGCCTACCGCCCCTGTCCTATTGTTTCTTTTATTTTTCTTATATGTACCCATTTCATGTATTCATAACTGTATATACTTATACCTATTAACTTGTAAGCGATTGACAAATAAAATAAAATAAAATAAAAAATAAATAAAATAACACCCACAAGCCCTGGATTTTTATTTTCTCTCACAAACTAAGCCAGGCACTGAACCCCATAACATTCCCATCTCATTACAATATAGTTATCCTCTTTTTCCAGCATATCCACAGCATGGACATGTTTCTTGACAACATTCAAAATCATAAACAATACATTGTTTATAATTGTTTTATATACATATACACACACACATATATGTTCATATTTTCTGGATATGTTCCTTCAAATATATATACAACTACCATTCCTAGATGTACTAATCTACAAAAAAACAGATGACACACTAGGACACACCATATACCAGAAGAAAACACACACCAACCGCTACCTCAACGCCCAATCCCACCGCCACCCAGCACAGATAAACTCCGTGGCCAAAACACTAATCACCAGAACCAAATGCCTGGCAGACAAGACACACATAAAGACTGAACTATGCACCCTGACTAAAGTACTGACAGCTAACGGCTTCCACAAAAGCAAAATCACCAGCTTGATCCACAAAAACACACTGAGACATAATGGAGACCTAGAAGATGAACAGACCTATGGAACAGCTGTCCTGCCCTACATAAGAGGTCCTACAGACAAAATCAGTAAGATACTACACAGGCATCACATCAAGACTGCCTTCAAAACAGACACAAAAATAGCAGCCATCCTAAGAAACCCCAAAGATAAAATTGACCTGGAAAATCAAGGCATATATGAAGTCCCCTGTGCATCATGCCCTGCCACATACATTGGACAGACCAATAGAAGAATAAGTACCCGCCTGGATGAACACAAAAATGCAGTAAAAAAGCTGGAACACACTTCCTCACTAGTCCAACACATGAAAGCCACAGGTCATAGCATCAATTTCAGTGGCACCAAAACCCTAGCCACTATAGAAAACCCCAGCTACAGAATTATCAGAGAAGCCATAGAGAATGAAAAAAGACCTGAAAGCATGAATAGAAGAGATGATTCCACCAGACTGTCAATTATTTGGAAGCCTGCACTCACAAACAAAAAATCTCCACACCACAAGCCAGGCAAACACCTGGGCACAAACAGATCCCCCCCTGATACCTCCAGCTCAAACACACCCCAACCAGGCACACAGATGAAACCTAGCTTCCTAACAAATGATAGTTGTCCATTTACCCAGAGTCAAGCTGCACTAAAAGCCTCCAATACAGGAAACACAATGTTGCCAGCCAATCAAGACCAAAAAAAAAAGCCACAAAACAGAGAGAAGATATTAGAAACACCAATCAAGCAGCACACAGCAAACTCCAAGACCAATAAACACAGACCAAGACTCCCAACCAATCAGGATGAAGAAAAAAACCATTCTGGAACAGCAGTAGGCTAGCCCCAAATTTAAAACAGAAACGGCTGTGAAAGTCTGAGTCACAGATGAACACAATACAGAAGCCTGATGATGGCAGATGAGATTCTGCCGAAATGTTGCTACAACTTTAAAAGCACAACTATAATGATGTGGGAAAATACCCAAACAAAGCTGAATACCATACATGTAAGTACCCACGAAAACTTAACAAAACACACACACACACACACACACATATATATATATATATATATACACACATATATATATATATACATACATACATACATACATACATACATACATACATACATATATATGTGTGTGTGTGTGAAAATATGAATTGTTTTCCATGCTTTCAACTTTTATGAAGCACCAACCATACCTTCTTTTGCTTTTCTTGGGGACTGGTTAAAGGAAAGACGACAAATTCCTTACCCTAATATTCTTTTCTCTTTGCCAGTCGAGTATGTTTTTGGTGTTGGATTTAGAATGACAAAATAATTTGCACTTACCACATTTTTCCTTTCTATATCCATTTCAGGATTCTCTTACTTCAGAAAGGTCCAACAGTGGTACTTGCAAATATGGATGAATTCATGGTAATAGGGTGTGTGACAGAATTATTGGAAGTAACATTTTCTCATGAAGTCCTTGATGCTTTTGGTCCTGAACAATAAAAACAACAATTTTTCCTATTTAGGCCTACATGTGACAAAAATACCCAACCCTTTGCTTATAGAACAAAACTGTGATGATTGTACCATGCATTTCTTCAAAGATGGGTATCTTTTTATTTTCAAAGACAGGTAAACCATTTTTCTGTGGAAATAGTCTGTGGTAAAAATCTCTCTGTGTAATAACAATTCCTTATTTTGTAAATAACTTAATATCTAAAAGATACAGATACAGCAATCAACATCATTACTGACACTGAAATCAATCTCATGATATCTACTTTTTTTCTTTAGGATTTGGATGAGTAGCATGTTGCCTAACTTCCTAAGACTGTGTTCTCTGAACAATGCTGACCATAAACTGTAAATCACCATTTCACAAGACATTTTGGTAACATGCTTTCAGCATGGTTCAGGAACTCATCAGCATTTAAATCACTCGATGATTCCTAACAGAAAAGGGCATGTGATTCAATCTATTTGCATCCATTCTGTACAAAATGGTGTGCATCAATGTCTCTTGAAGAGATTCTGTATCTCATTATGAATGACACCTATGGCATGGGCGAATGAATGGATACATTAAGGTTTATACCTCTATAGTGTACTAGTATTTCACTGCACTGTAATTCAGGATAATTCTCTTCTATGCCTGTTTCAGTTGCAAGCACATCTTCACCAGAGCCTGTGTGTCTGTTGAGTTTGGGTTCTCTGATTGTTGCATGGTATTTTTTATGAGCTTCTGGCTTCTGGCATAGATTTCTCTGTGCAGCTCATATTGCTGCAGGAAGCCTCAGGAAATCCTCTATCTCTCGTTTTTTTTGCTTTTTTGTATGACATCTCTGGATAAAAACATACAAATAGGCAGAGCATGTAACCAATGCCCACTGTATGTATACTTTGGATAGCATGCTTTGCATATGCCTAGATTAATTAATCAGGCCATGCATGGACATGTAACTAATACATTTACAACTGAGCACAGGTATATTCTCACAAACCAGGTCCTGCATGGAGACAATTTAAATCAGACACATAATAAACACCCTTGTCCAGGATGTGCTTTGGGCATGCCTGCAATCATTTTGAGCACAGCATTGTCTGTGCTCAGTCGCAGACTTGTAGTTAATACTTTCCACACAGGAATTTTTAAAAATTGCTACGTTTTAGTTTTGGTCAAGGGCAGAATGGAGTAAGCTGCTTTATTCATTGTTTAAAAATTATTGTTGGAGATTTGGAGAATGAAAACTAGTGAGTGAGCCAGAGCAAGAGGTGTGCATGTGTATTTCCAGTTAAACTTTTCAAAAATATGTGTAACTTTATTTTCCAGGAAAAACAGAAGAGCGGGCTGTAGCTTAAAACACTTTTTCTGAAATTTAGGTGCTGATTTTTAAAAATTAGAATTTAAATCAGATTTACTTAAAATACTTAAAGTCAAACCCTAAATTATCAGAGGCCAGTGCAAACAGGTTTGTCTGGTATGCAGCTTGCTTTTCTTGATGGGATTAGGAAACATGATCTTCAATAGATTTCATGACCAGATGGGTTTTTGATTGTTTAGTTTGATGATATCAGTGATTAAAATTATTGATAATCTCTCATTGTAAATTAATATAAACTGCCACTGCTTTAATCATACTGTAGATAGGTTGCTGTGAGAGAACTCACTGGAAATACGGTAAAATAAAAATAAATAAATTATTGATTGCAGTTAATTGCATTGTCCAGCTATTATTATGGTGATATATCACTAATGAAGAAGATACACTTTATATTGTCATAATTATGTCAGGGTAATGTTACAAATTACTGGTGTGGAAATGATTCTTAACAGTTTACATTATTAAATTTCTGCATCTATAAAAGTGAGCAGTTTGGGCTTATATTGAATAATCCCATGGCCTTTTTAATGAAACAACAGTCCACCTGAGTATAAAGCCTTATTAAACAGTTTAAATTTTAGTTAAGAATTTTTGTGCTAAATATAAATCTGCTCAAACTATATCATGTTTACAGATTCCAGATGACTATGCTTATACAAAATAGGGAGGTACTACATTCCTTAAGAAAGCTAGCATGAAAATGTTAGATTGCAGAAATACATGTTCTTTTAAGGATGCCCATTATGTATAGATAAGTTTCCATTTTATTTTATTTTTTATGTATAGAAATTGGAATAGCTTAGGAGGGTATAAATGACATTGCTTTTCCAGGTGAGATAGAGAGATAGAGAGATAGAGATAGAGATACAGATAGAGATAGAGAGAGGGGGGGGGGAGAGAGAGAGAGTAGATAGATAGATAGATAGATAGACAGACACAAATCTATTTACACTGACTATGAATGGGCACAAATAAAATAGTTCTGCTTTTGTTACATAATATGAGAAAATTTGAGGCAAAGTGTTTGGATTTTCACAGCCTTGACATATGTTAATTTAAACTGACTTAACTGAATTAGTGGGGAGGCTGTAAGACCGTGGCAGAAGGCTAAATTTTTCATAGATGTCCCCATATAATCTGTCTTCATTACTTAGATTTCCAAAATACATTTTGAAGAGTGGCTGTTTATTTCAAGGATAGTAGACTTTAAAATGGTAACTGAATTGAGTGTTTCATGGTTGGAATATTTCAACCTTGAACATTTCTAATTATAGAAATAATAGAAGGACTTTCATTGTGAAAATTATTTCTGATTCCTCTTTGCTCCATTAATTCAAGTTGTTATTTCCTCTATTATTGGAAAATACAACACAGAATTTGTTATCTTATGGGTTTTATTACATTCTGCTGCTGAATATATTTCTATCACTAAGTTGGTCAACAGTCCATCAGTTAGTAAACAGAACATAAAAATGTAATCATATATATATATATATATATATATTGTTCTCAAAAGGTTGAAGGCAGTAAATATTTGGGTATTTAGTGGGATTATCAAGGCTAATGTAAAGAATGGAGACATATTATATCCATTTCTGGTGTTCTTTACTCTTTTTTACAAGTTCTGCACAGTGGGGAAATCAGATATCTCTAACATAAAGTATAAACTAAATTTATAGAGTCACCAAGGTGCTTTTTCAAGAGGCAACTGGACTTTGTTTTTTCTTTGAAGACGTTTCACTTCTCATGCAAGAAGCTTCTTCAGCCCTTCTTGGGTAAGAAGTGAAACATCTTTAAAGAAAAACCAGAAAGTCCAGTTGCTTCTTGAAAAAGCACTTTGGGGACAAACATGACCTGGATGACTGAGAATCTCCATAAATATAAATTTATAGAGTGGAATTCTAAAATGATAGCAAATGTTTTCTGTGACCCTAAAGTTGCAGGACTCTCATTCCTGGCCTAAAGGTAACAAGTGAGTTTATTGCTGAATTGAAGCTGTTGTCAGGGGCCTAAAAATGTACACTTCATCCTCAACAATGATGCTACTACTAAAATTACAAGTGCTCATTGTTGCTTATGACTGCATCTTCAGAATATAATAGTTAATATAATATAATATAATAGTGCCAATGCATGCAACTAGATTAGAGTAAAAATAAGGAACCTCGCCCCATTATGTGAATCTAGGGGGAAGGGCATAGAAAATTATCTTTTTCTAAACTCTTCACCAGAGATTCAGGTGATACATACTTTATGGATTTATGAAACTACCAAGAACCTCATGGAGTTGATAGTAACAAATATTGTAATAAATAGATGCCAAGAGTTTAAAATGATTTTTCATCCATTATTGAAAAGTGGCTGACGTCCAGAATTTCCTATTACCGTATTTGCCGGCGTATAAGACGACTTTTTTGCCCTGAAAAACATGCCTCCAAGTGGGGGGGTCGTCTTATACGCCGGGAGGA